GAAGCCTTCCCTAGCCACTTATTGAAAATTATAGCATCATCCTCCAGCATGCTGTGCTTCCCCACCCACTCCCCACATTGCCCTTATTACCATCTATACACATGATCATTTATCTAGCTTATTGTCTGTCCCCTCTTCTAAAATATAAGTTCCATAGAGGCAGGGATTGAATGTATTTTGTGCACTATTGTTTCCCTACTATTTAGAATGGTGCCTGACAAATTAGTAGGCCGTCAGTTAATGTTTGTTTAGTGAATGAAATTTCCAAACTTAAAGTTGTCAAGTCAGGGTATGAAAGTACTCTGTGATTGTCTGTGAATTAAAGTTTTTTCTACTGATCTCTCTGAGCTATGGTCCTAAGATAACAATTTTCTACCTCTGAACAAAGGTGCCTCTGATACCCAGACCTTCCTGTCTGAGAACAAGCATTGCCTATTAGAGCCAGACAAGAGAAGTACATATTTCCATCTGTAATTCTGTAGAGTCGCTTTGGACCAGAATGACTTCAAAATGCTGTCCCATAAAGGCAAATAAACCCAAAGACCTTTGTAGTTTCCCTTCACCTCTGCTGCATTAGCTGAAGATAAATCTGTGCAGAGTTCACGAAAGGGAACAGATAACTACATTTAGCTGTGTAGTGATGAACACTAATGGCCTGTGACAAAATGGATCTCTACAGGCTGAGCTGCCATGCAAGGTGGGAATTTTTTCCTTTTTTTTTTTTTTGAAAATGATAATGAGGAAAAGTAAAAATAAAACCACCTTCAAAGATGCAAAGAAACAACCTGTAGGCCAAGTCCAAGGTGATTTTCATGGTATCTTTTTGGTTTTCCTTTAAATTTTTTGTTAATTTTTGAAAGTACTTGCATCTTGACTGAAAAAGGTATGTATACCATTGTACAGGGGAGGAAGGTCTCCCCTGTATTAAGAATGAAATGTACATTATTACTAGTAGCATATATGCTAATAATATAGTTCATTTGTTTCATTTCCTGCAACATGTGTTATCATGTAAATTACTAAATTGATTTTTAGTTCCTTCTCATTTTTATTTATAGACAGTTATACCATATCACTGAAATCCACACTGATTTTACATTTTCTGTGCATTTTTCCTGTTCTTAAGTGAGAAGCTTATTTGTGTGTCCTTCCCTCCCCATTTGACATTCACTTGGTGACCATGAGTTACTCAGGTAACTTTTTCTGTTGTATCTTGTGAGGATCAAATGTATACTTAGAAATGTGCTTCATAAACTTCTGTTAACATTTAAATTAACAATGCTGATGTGTATATTAGACTAGCTGATGTCAAAAACTCCTTTCTCTTGTAAGCCTGAGTTATTTTAAGAACTCCAAAAGTATCTTTCTGATATATTCTATAAATTCAGGCAACTAATGTGTGTGTGTGGTGTGTGTGTGTGTGTGTGTGTGTGTATAAAATCTGGAGTTTCTAAGAGTTGACCATGAAATATTAAATATTCTGAAGAGACTGAGGAGTTTTCAAAAAATCTGTTCAGTATTCCAGTATGACCTGCACATTCTGTATTTTCAGTGTTTGTTTCTACGATATTCAGAACACATTTTATTCTACAGCAGAATTATTTGACAAAACATTTCCTTCCTGTCCTCTGAATCTCTCTGGATGATCTATGAAAATATAGCATTTCCATGTGTGACTATATAAAGCTCTATTATGATGCGTTTTTAATAAATTTCTTTTATTTCCTTCTTCCAAAGTGATTTCTGATAATCCAGCATGAATCAACCCCTATTTTTGTACATTTTCAAGTTAGATTTTTGAATATGATACCTGTCTCTAATTTTAGCCTAAAAAGAAAGAGTTACAAGGCCACTGTCAAGACCTTGGTTTTCCTGCCTAATCTACTAAATTTATAAATTCTAGAAATCCATTTGCTTTTCAAAAACATTTTTTCTTATTTTCTGTACCAATTCATTTCCTCCCAGCTTTCCCACATGCATGACTTTTATAGCCCAGTATAAAGTAGAGTGCTCTGCCATATTGATTTAATGGTACGTTTCAATAAATTTACCCTATTACAGTGCTTGCTCCATACCAGGCAGCCAAAGGGGAAACAGACTGATGTGCTGTTTAACTAATTTTAAAAGAAAAAAAATTCCATTTTCTCCATCCTTTAATGTCGTAGCTGTCCTGCCAATGACTTGATACTGAGATGTATTAGGTTCCCGTGACATATGTTACAGGAAGTAGTGGCCTGACCTTTTAAAAATTTTATTAACATTTATAAATTTGTTTTAGTGTATTATGTTGGAAGCAATGATTTTTCCCCAGAATAGATTGTGGTGACTGGTGTACAGATTGATATCTGTGTCATATATTAAGGTAGTGAACATTTTGTAGCTTGTACAGATGCTGGCTTCTTCCTTCCCCCTCCCCCTTCTCCTGCCTTTAAGGCTTATACTAATAGGGATAGAAACATTTAAAAATGTTTTCTTAAGCATTTTACAAACAACTGGTGACATTATCATCAGCCTTTGGTTAGATCTGATTATTGCTCGATAAACATTGAGGCATAGGTATTAATTCACTTGGTCTTCCCTCAGTGTCTAATGTATTCTAGACATCATGCCAGTCACTAGAGATATAAGAGTAACTGGCACAATCCCTGCTTTCAAATAGTTTACAAAGTGATGGATTAGGAATCTGTGGTATACGGTCAAGATCCTAATCAAAGATTTCTCTCCTCCCTCAATTCTGTGTTCAAACCACATATGTGTTCTTTTGTTTTCTCTCTTCTCTCTCTTCTGCCTCCTCTCCTCTCCTCTCCTCCTCTCCTCTCCTCTCCTCTCCTCTCCTC